CATAACCTGAGCCGAAGGCAGACGCTTAACGACTGAGCCACCCAGGCTCCCCTGGAAATGACTTTTAAACTTTGCCTGTCTCAATCACCATACCTATAAGACCGGAAATAATTATACTGTCCAGGATTGTAGTGGTTAAAAATAAATGGTTACAATGGACTTTGCAAATACTGTATGTGGCATTATCACTTCCTTATAATAATTACTTAATATATATTATTTTACTATAGTCATTCCATTGTTCCACTCTGAACAAACTCATCAATTTTTTTTATTTTTTAAAAATATTTTATTTACTTATTTGACAGAGAGAGAGAGAGATCACAAGTAGGCAGACAGGCAGGCAGAGGGAGAGGGAGAAGCAGACTCCCCGCTGAGCATGGAGCCTGATGCAGGGCTTGATCCCAGGACACTGGGATCATGACCTGAGCCGAAGGCAGATGTTTAACCGAATGAGCTACCCAGGCGCCCCAAACTCATCAATGTTTAATGTAAACATTTTCTTTTTCTTTTTTTTTAAGATTGTATTTATTTATTTGACACAGAGAGAGAGAGAGCACAAGCAGGGGGAGCAGCAGAAGGAGAGGGAGAAGCAGGCTCCCCACTGAGCAGGGAACCCAACGTGGGACTCAATCCCAGCACCCTGGGATCATGACCTGAGCTGAAGGCAGATGCTTAACTGACTGAGCCACTCAGGTGCCTCCAAATTAAGTTTGCTTCCATCAGATTCTTCCTATGGTTGAAAATATTTTATTCTGACACTAAACTTCAGCAGTCAAATGAAGCAAATGAGAGCCAGCCAGCAGAAGGAATCTATTATTAGATTCCTAACCTGAAGCAAAAGTTGTCTGCAGAAACCCTCTTTAGATGTGCTCATGTTCACTGTGTGACAGGAGTGTGGAAGAACATAAAAAAGCATGCAGCTACAGAATGGAACCTGGGAGCCTTCAGGGTCAGAATGCTTAATTGGAATTAGAAGACAGGACTCTATGAAACTGGAAGAAATGCATTTTGTCTTGGTTAATTATAAAATAAAACAATAGTACAGGAATACTTTGCTCACGCAACATTTTGTATGGCAAAAATGGCCACAGGAGTTCATAAGGTGAGCCCAGGAGAGGACTCAGGCACGGCTGGCTCACCTCCTCGCTTAGGTGTCATTTCATACACTGCATTCCCAGAGGGATCCTCTCCATCACATCTAAAAATGTTCCCTGTTATAACCCCTTCTTTGTTTCCTTCTTAAAGCTTATTGCAACATGTAATTATCTTATTCATTTGGCTACTATTTCGGCATTGTCTCTACTAGAATGTACATTTCATGAAAACAAAAATCTTGTCTGATTTTTTTTTTTTTACCATGGTATCTGGTGTCTGACACATAGTAGATGGTTAATAAACATTTGTTGAATGAATGAAGAGGAAATCTGGGCCTGCAATCTGCTTCTCCTCAAGTAAATTTATTCCACTGACACATGTATGCTATATCCAGTTTGAGAATTAACCAATCAACCATAAAAACCTTTCTTTAGTATTACAAATCATTCCAAAATTCTTATGTTTTCCAGTAGCCCTTCTAATGTGCCCTGGTCTTTTTCTTGTTTGAGTTTGGACTTGCACTATGTTTTCTTGCTTGATTTTTTTTTTTTTAAGTAGGCTCCATACCCACCATGGGCTTGAACTCACAACCCTGAGATCAAGAGTGACATGCTCTACCAATTGAGCCAGCCAGGTGAGCCATTCTTGCTTAATTTTTTTAGGTTTGCCTACGAGTGACAGGTCAACCCCAGCCCTGGTAAGGGCAAGGAACATCCCTAGACGTCACTGTCCTGATATCTGCTTAGCAAATAGAGAATAACATTTTCATGTGACCTAAAAAAAAAAAGGAGTTGATTGCACCCATAACTGAGATTGGTTTAGAAACAAGTAGAAGGTGGTAAGGGCTGAGGGAGCTCGTTGAGAACAAAGACATGTCCCTATTTCTTCATCTATCCCCCCAACCTCTTCATCGATCATCCCTTCTTTCAGCAATCATAGCATTTACTAAGCTCAGACTTATACCAGAATTGTTCTAAATATTTTATGCATGTTCATTAAATTAATCATTACGGTTACCCTAAGTGTTCGTACTGTTATAATACCCAGTTTATAAATAAGAAAACTGATAACCATTTCTTAAGCATTATTGCTCAGTGGTCTTTGAGAAGGAGCTGACAATCCTTTGAGT